AAATGCAAGAGAACCAGATTCGAGGAACGACTAGCAGCGGATTCAGTACAAGCACCAAAGCAATTGTATGCCTACCTCAGGCGAAGAATCAGAGCAACGCCTGGTCTCCCGACTCTCGCCAAAGATGGGGCACCAGCCGAAAAAGTTGAGGAGATACTGGCATCACATTATGCGTCAGTGTACCCCAGACCTCAGCACATTGGCAAAACCACTGGACACTGACACTGCCCTGAACTGGACTCCATTTAGCATCGGAGAGGTGGCCCTGGAGCTGCGTCGGTTAAAGGTTGACCAATCACCTGAACCTAATGATGTGCATCCGCGTATCCTGAAGGAGCTGGCAGACGAACTTTGAGCGACACTGTGCAACCTGTTCAATTTGTCATTCACTCAAGGGCGTTTACCGCGCCAGTGGAAGGACGCTGTCATTGTTCCACTGCTCAAAGTTGGGGATAGGATTGACCCTGGAAACTACCGACCAGTCAGCCTTACTAGTGTTGTGGGTAAAGTAATGGAGCGACTGGTGGCTGCACGGCTTCGGCAGTATTTGGTGTACCACGGTCACCTGAGCCACCAACAACACGGTTTCCGGCCGGGTCGCTCATGCCTCTCAACCCTGCTACCGGCCCGTGAATGCTGGGCTGAGGAAAAGGCCAAAGGACACGGAACGGACATCACCTTAGCGGACTTCTGCAAGGCATCTGACAAGTTATCGCACGACCTCCTGCGAAAGCTGTTCANNNNTACTCATTACCCTCACCACCATTCGCGGATTGATTCGCAGCATTGATTGTATACACCAAGTTCTTAATCCTTCTTCTCATCACGCCCTATTTTTGACTGAAACGGGAATTTCACCCTCGTCAAAGTACACCCGCCTTCAAGTCCTCAACTACACTATCCATTCCTTCATATCCAAAGCTGCTGTATGTGCCTCTGTCCATCAATCAGTCACAAACCCTAGAATATCAAATCTTGACATTTCCTATCGATGTGACTGACACTGACTATATTCCTTTTTTGCATTACTTTTGAGTTCATCTAACAGTGGTAACTCCACTTTTTTCGAATTTGTTATCTTTCAACATTGAACACTTGTTTACGACGGGCCCCAATTGCCATGCGCTCAAGCTTATGTTGCCAGAACAGATTTATTACTGTTACATTTTGTCACGAACTGAAACTGAGTATCTACTCAGATGCACTTTTGATCAGTAAATGTCTACATTACGGATACCAGAACGAAAAATATCAATTTTTAACTAACCGATAGCCGCATTGAAACTGGTCTCTGACCGACAAAAGATTCCGAATAATAATGTCTCAATACTCACAGCAAGCTGACAAAGATGAGTTGTGCCTATATCGCTCAACACACAATCGGACTGATCCTCCAGAGTAATATAAGAAATGACTCACATCAAGCTGATAAGGCTTTGTTTCAAAGTAGACTGAAGCAGCACTCATTTTTTTCTTTAATTTGGAGTATCCATGACTCGGGTGTCCACCACATGTGACGTCCAAACCCATTATCCGATCCCCCGGGTCCAACAGGGCTGTGAATACGGCGAAATTTGACGGGGATCCACTCAGCGGTTGGACGTTCACACCCCAAGCTGCGGATCGCATGTCTTCGTCCGGCTGTTTCAGTTTAAACACATTCAAAAGTCTGTTTTGACTGAGTCGTTCCATCTCATCGACGAACTGAGTTCCCCGTGGTAGTCTGACGACAGAAATATAAAGTGAACGTTTACAAACTCCCTAGATTTTAGTGTAAGGAGAATGCATACATAAATTACTATTCCATTTTAAATGAATAACATGATTCAGTTTAATTCGCCATATGCAGTTGTATTTACCAAGATGGTCTCCGGCTTATCAGCCCAATTAATGCTATTAACTTTAATTTGCGAAGCAGTGTCATACTATGGTTGCCCCGTACAGCTCTTTCGAAGATTTGATTGTACATTTGTTGTGCATCAAATAAGTAAGCGGTCAATAAATGCGACTAAATGTTGTGCGTGATGGTCACCAAAAAGAACTGAACAGCTAGCTGTTTTGCCATTGTCGGAACACACATCCGCAGTGCGTACTATCAATGTGTCCCTGATTGACCGTAGACCGCAAACTTACGGGTCAGGAGTCAAACCGCCCTGTGATGAAATACAATGCTGGTGATGGTGCTCAACTCCCCCTATCGCTTAACCTCCATCTGTTTCTTGCGTCGTCTGAAAATCCTTTTATGGTCCGCTTGACCCTTCCAGAAGATAGGTTTTTATCCCATGATATGTAAAAGAAAGATAAAGAAAGATGGAGGACATGAATTTCTTCAACAAGAGACTGTAACCCTGCCAGCTTTTGGGCACAGGTAGAAGACACCGCTTGGATTTCAGTCCGAAGGCCTTAAGGGAATAGATTGACCCTAATATCATGATTAGACAGTTTTATCGACCACCAAATATGGTGATTACTGCGTCGTAAAGTTGTTTTATCCCGAGTTAAACTGATATACATGGAAAATTCGGCTTCGGTTTTGGAGAATACAAAGAAGAACCTGCAAAAATTGATGAACTGTGATGATACTGGTGACTGCCAACATCTTCGTAAGCAGAAACGCAATAAACGCATCTTTCAGATTAATGAATATCGGATCAGTTCATTCCGTGACCGCCAGAAGACATACTAGGATAAACTGCTTCCTATTCCTCATAAACAACTATTCCCCATTTACGAGATACCCCTTTAACTTCCAACGCTTGATCAATAGACCGAAGACTAACGGCATAGCTACAGATGATAGCCATCGGGTCCACTGCTAGTAAAACACCCTTATCTCTAAACCGCAAAACTACGAACGTTGGGGCCTCATACAACACACTCCTCTATGCCGTCACTATGGTGACCATGCTGCTCTCCCATTCAGCCAAAAAAGTTTAGTAAATATAACCTTTTAAAATTTGACAGGAGAAGAACGAATTCCATTTCCTGGGTATAAAGCTGAAGAGGCAGGCCCTAAAAAAGCACCATTTTATCTAGCACCAACCAACTTGAAGCGGTGAAAACACAAATTTCCCAGGTTCGTCCTTATAGAGCACACAATTTACCTCTTACAATGTCTGGCACCTAGTACCCACCGAACATGTTTTGATGCAACATTAGAGGAGGAAATTGAGAAAATCAAGCATAGGCTTCAAACAACGGAAACCCTAAGAGGAACAATACAAGAAGACCTTCATCCTCAGAGACCAAGACAATCGAAAGAAGAGAGCTGTCTACGCCATTGCCCTTCAAGGGCGATGTAAGTATTAAAATGCTAAAATGACTAGGAAAAGTGATCTCCTGAACCTAACCAGTCCCTAATCCACGGTGACTTTTACCAACACGTGTTCAAGCGGTAGAGATCGCCTCGGAAGACGTGTGTTCGAATCCCAACTTACCACCTGACTTTTACCATTTTCTGATTGGGCACCTCACCTTTTCTGAAAATGGTATAATTGCATATTAAATAAAAGGAAGTAAAATAAAACCTACGGCGAGTTGCGTAGGTTGAACCATAAGCCGGTTATCACGGAGAATCAATGAGCGCAAACCCGCCCGGTAGTGATAGCCCACCTCACAGAAACCGAGCATTAAGCTAGTGACAACAACTTTCAAGTCATATACTGAATACCTGTGAGTAGATCAATGCTCGAACGACAAAGACGATGAGTAGTAGCGGAAGAGGTAGCAATTAAGCTGCTAAACCCATTATTGTGTGCACGGAAAAAGTTGGCTAAAGCACTCCAGATGCCCTGACCTCTAGCTGACCTAGAAAGTGAATCTGACTGTGACCTCTGTCAAGCGATGATGACGTCAGCAACAGAAACCAATTTGACCACAACCGTGCCAGCAGATTTCAACAGACGTGACCTATTAACCCCCTTCCCGCTCCACTGTGTACGCTTCAGTTTTTCGTTTTCTTTCAGTTTATCAATCATTTAACCCAACCGATATGCCAAGGAAATTTGTCTATTGTAGCATGCACGTCACTGTAAATGCCGGAAGACGGTGTTATCAAAACAGGCTTTGTAATAAGAATAAAATGAAAAGAGAAAATTCGGTATCTGATGGATCATTCCTTTTTCGCAATCTTACCGAATAAAAACTATCCCATTTCCTTACAATCAAATAACCGCTTCGAGGGACATCAGATATCGAAGAATTTCAATTATGGTGTGGGACAAAATAACTTGCTTTATGCCTAACATTGATTGCATGACGCTCACAGTTTGTTCATGATCATAAATCTAACTACCATATTCTTTCTGCTAAGCATAATGCTCCCAAACTCTACTTTACACACCAAGATTGGCCTCGCTGTTGCAATGTCAAGTCGATCTGTGAAGAGAATAGCGTTTATCACTCTAATCTCACGGATAAGTCAAAAGTTTAACTGAGTCATTAGAACGGGTTAGCGGACAAGTGAGACATGTAACTGGGTTTGGTTAAGGAATAGGAGCAAGCTTGATAACACAAATTGATTTTGAGTTCTTCAAGTGGTTTGAGAAAAACAGATCGCAATTGTGGATGAAGGTGGGCCGAAAAGGAGCGAGAGAAAGACATGCCATACAACAAGGTTAGGCATCGTCTGGTGTGATGTAACCATCACCACCACCGTAACCACAGTTGTGTATTTACGTAATTACGGAATCGCGCGATAAATAGCTACCGCGCCTGGAAATCGTAAAATCCGTGATCTTGTGTATTTCTTTGCTGGACATGATTGTATAATTCTGCGTCTATAGCTGAAGGAGAGCACACAAAACTGATGGTCAGCATCAACTCTTAGAATATGCCTATAGAAAAAGGCGTTCACAAAGAATTTGTTTTTTCCCTGTACCGCATCAGGTGGTTTTATAAGTAAGATGCTATTAGTACATATATTGGATTGGCCGATTATAGAGCAGCTTCTAACATAAACAAGCAGGCCTATCAAGCAAAACTGAAAAGACTAGCGGTATTCAATGCTAGAGTCCTTATGAATTGAGCTGCAACCGACCAATGAGATATCTGTAATACTGTAGTCTTATGTATGTAAACTACTGATGCAATATATCGAAAAGAACTCTCCTCGCAAACACCCTTTTGAACGATTTCGATTCTGCCCACATGTAGGGATTCCTTAAGCAATTTGAAGCCTATTTTTTGCATAGGCTTCATTTTACTTTGTTGGTAGATGTTTGGTCACCATCCCAACATCATGTGCACCTACGATACTGTCCACATTGCGCATATAGTGCGCAGATTCCTGTATACATTTTAACAATAGGTCAGTTTCCAATTTAGACAAAGAAATATTTTTGTGTAATGTACTAAACTGGGGACTCGGCGAAGCCCTTCCCCCTTGTTTGCGTATTGCACCATTGGATTCAAGTCGTATCGTATATGCACTCATGATGAGAAGAAGTCACTGGACTTAGGCTAAAAGCAGCTCAACGATTTTACACAATTTTTGCGTGTACGCGTGGTTTCGATGGTCAGTATGTGTCCAGTTTAATTATAGAAATCATTCCGATGACCCAGACAATGCTTTGTAACCAGAAAATCGGGGACCGGTAAGCTTTATTCTGCTCCATCTCGGTGGTAAACCGTTTGCAAAGACACCTTGGATGCTGTGCAGCATCCTTCCCGCTTTCATTCGTTTCAGGATTTTGAATGTGAACACAAATTGGCAAACAAGCTCGTTTTCCGTGTGTTTTAATCATGCCATTACAACACAGTGAATACGACCGGTAACAGAGAAGGATTTACAAGGGGAAAAAGGGGAAAGTAAGTAAAAAGCTCAACAGTTTGTGTCATAATTGGTCCCCAATTAT